GGGGGGGGGGGGGGGGGGGGGGGGGGGGGGGCCCCCCGGGCCCCGCCCCACCTGGGGGCAGATGGGCTGCCTGCAGTGCCCCCGCCTCCCGGTCTGGCCTGCCCCACTGTGGTCGAGCTGGGAGCTGTGGCAGTCTGAACAGTGTAACAGTGACCAGCGCCATTTCTGAGCCCATTTCACAGCAGCTGATTTGCAGGGTTCCAGTGAGGACCACGTGGTAACGTGTGGACAGCACTCGCACAGTACCTGGCTCAGTGGCTGGCTGATGCCATCAGTGCTGCTACTGTGGTTGCTAGAAGCACCTGAGGACCCACCTTACCTGGAGTGCACCTCCCACAGCTTCTGGTTCATCCGATAGTCCCACACGGAGACCAGGCCCTCCTCGCCCCCGCTGACAATCTTCCAGTCGTCCATCTGGACTGAAGAGACTCCGAGTTGGTGGGCAGAGATGGACAGGGCGATCGTGTCAGTGCGGAGGTCGTGGATCCTCACCCTGCAGGGCCAGAGACGAGCGCAGAGATTAGCATTAGAGCCTGAAATGACGAATTCCTCCTCAGCCATGCTGGTCTGTGTACAGCAACCCTATGAAAACAGAGTATGAAACCCTTCAGTTACGAACATCTAAATACTGATACTAAACTTTCACCACCTCCTTAGTGTACTCTCAGAGGAGGCCAAGAGGCACTAGAAATGAACTAGTTTAGAGCACTCCCAACCATTCAAAGCACAGAACAAGGAGGACTCAGAACAGATACACCAGCTGCCCTGCTGCTCACTTTTATGTGCTCCACAGGGGAGACACCTGCCCTGGGCACAAGCCCATTGCGAGGGAGGCTGACCTGACTGCCACGGGGACGTCGGCCTGAGAAGGCTGTCCGGAGGGTAAGTATACTGCCCAGCATGGCAGTTTTGCTGTTCACATAAAAGTCTGTTAAGAGCAAGTTGTAAAACAGCTACTTTTGTCTGAAACCTGAACCCTTACCTGGTTGGGAAAATAACACTTTTCGGGTAATTTAACTCAACTTTTAAGTTCATCACCATCTTGTTGAAATTTGGAAAGGCGATGCATCTACAGTTTGGCTAAGCATAACAGAAACGTGATAAGAGTATGTGGACACTTGGCAGTTACTTATCTAAAGTCTTGAGATAATTACCTTGTAGTAATCTGAATTTCTTTAAGAACATCTTTAAAAACTACTTTCTATACAAGTATATGCTGAATTTCCACGTAAGGATAAATTAGATGAGACAGAAATCTCTTATCCACTAGAAGTACCAACACAGTTCCTGAAATAAGCCACAAGAGCTAAAACTGAATGTGGCAACATTTCAGTACAGGTGAAATTAACAGCCCCTATGCTGCAAGTCACAAACGAAAAGACAGTCGCTACCCTGAAACGATGCCACTAGCCAGCTAGCAGGGGAGCTGGACAAACATGTCTGACACAAATAATGTGGGGAGAAGGGATCATCTCAAACACGTTCTAGATCCTAAACTCTTACAGGTACATGAGCATGCACAGACACAAAGTATCTTTGTGTGAGGGGAAATTATCTGAACTGGAAATTCTATACCTAGCTTACCTACCAAGTTTGAGGGCATAATGAAGCCTTTTTTTTTTTTTTTAAACATAAAAGGACTCAATGTGAGCTACCCATGGATACTCTCTGAAAGTGATGTAGCAAAATAACAGAAGGGCCATGAGGAGCCAACACACACGCCACGGAGGGATGTATGAGACGAACACTGAATGTTAGCAGACAGCTTAGAAAGCCCTAATGTGTCAGCTGGGTGGGCAGACGCACACAGGACAAACCCACCTCTTAAGAGCCTCAAGTCACAAAGCAAAACTCAATATAGGGACTTCCCTGGTGGCACAGTGGTTAAGACTCTGGTCAGGGAACTAGATCCCACATGCATGCCGCAACTAAGGAGCCTGCCTGCCACAACTAAGATGCAGCACAACCAAATAAATAATAATTTTAAAAAGCAGGTTTGAAAAAGAACCAAATAGTACTTAAAAAAATTTTTTTTAAAACCCTCAATAAAGATTTTTTAAAAACCCTCAATATATGCTACACACGAAAGGCACATTTGCATGTGACAAGGAAGAGGTGACAGTTTTAATACCTGAAAAGGTAGATTTCAGAGCAAAAAGCATTAGCCTCAGAGTACTTCAAAATGATGAGAAGGATACAGTTTACTAAATGTTTGATAAAACTTGCCAGGAAAGAAACAAAAAACCCCACACGATACCCGAAACTAATATAAAACTGTAAATCAACTATATTTCAATTAAAAAACCACACATGGACCTAATTTCTGTAGGTTGGTTTTCCCCCCTTTTCAGTAATTCAGTTTCTTTCATCATTATAATCTATTCAGGTTTTCTTTCTATTTCTTGAGTTCATTTTTTGAATCTCCACACTTGAAGACCTAGATGAATAAATGACATTGTAGGAAAATAAGAATTATCAAAACTAACCCCCAGGAGACAGAAAATCCAAATAGATCAAGGAACACAGAGCAAGCTGGGAAAGCTGTCGAGGAGCAAGCTGTCCCTGCAAAACAAGAACAAGCAAAATGGGTCCAACCTGGAAGGAAGAGACCGCCCCCCGCATTCCCCAAACCCCGGGCTACATCTACTGTTCCACAGCACAGCAGAGGGAGGAAAGCTCTGACTCTTTACATGGAGCCAGCATTCCGTTATTACCCAAAACCCGACACCGCAAGCATGACAGAAGACGACAGATCTGCACCAGTGCTAAGACCTGAATAAAATATCAACTAACAGAACTCACAGCAACACGTTAACCAGCAAGTGGACTCTGTCTAGAATGTCCATTCCTGTGGTCCACCATGCCTCTCTGACAACAAGAAACCCATAGAGAGGGTCACTTCCGTGGACACTGAAGAGAGATCTGATGACATAGAACACTTATTCCTAATGAAAAGTCTTTAAAAAATAGTAATCTACTTTTACCAATATTATTTTACATTGTTTTTAAAAAATTAGATAAAATTAGATAAAAGTGGACAAATTTATCATTAGGGTTGACAATCCAAGGTAATTCAGTAATAATTCAGAATCAAATGTATTTTAATATGTCAAAATCAATAACTATCCTTTGTACAACCACTAGTTTTAAAAATGTAATTGAAGAAAAGATCCCACTTAAATTCGCAATTATAAGCAAAATACCCTGTAACAACTTTCTCAACTTGGAGGTCTACCATATGCATTACACCAACATCAGTAACAGAGGGCTCAGAGAGTTAAAACAAATATTCAGGATAGGAAGGCCTTTCTAAACATTACAAAAAATAAAGTCAAGGCAAATGGTAAACTGAGAAAAATGTTTGCACCAGAGGACTAATTTCTTATAAAAAAAATTCCTTCAAATTTATAGTAAAGATTGATAACCCAGGATTAAACTTTATTAAAGTTTAAGAAAAGAAAAAATAGTTCACAGGAGAAGTACTAACGGCTTTTAAACACTTGTAAGACATTCAAGTTCACTGGTAATGGGAGGAATTATGCACTAAAACTACAATGCAGTAATACCACTCAACCTGCCTACCCAGCAAGGGTAAAGTCTGGTAGTACTCCGAGACGCCTTCCACACGGGTGAGCCCTGGATAGAGAGGTACTTCTGTACGGCTGATGTGAGCACAAGCCCAAAGAAAGTGGCGTGGCAATACCCAACAAAATAAAAAAATATACTCCACCTTGACTTAGCAGTTCTGCTTCTCGGGTTTTATATAGGCTATATCTAACATACATGTACGTCCACATATATACATACAAGGCCATGAGCCACAGTACTTTTTCAGTAGCGAAGATGAGGCTTCTGTTTCAGGCACCCTGTTGACCCTCCCACTGAAAATCACTTCATACTGCTGGATAAGACGTTAACTACATCCTTTTAAGTGCACTGCTGAGCTCACAGAGTAAGCGACCTCCCTAGGGCCCATGCAGAAAACCAGGTTGGAGAGCTTGAGTTGCAATTTTGGTTGCCTCTATGCATGTGCGGTGGGGGCGAGGCTATTGGCAGGTGCCAATCTCAGGAAGCAACGGGACTGGCTCTTACTGTACCACGGGGGCAAGGCTGTAAGACTGGGGTCCACTCAAAGGGGAGTATTGAGACCTTGCTTTATAAAAAAGCAGTATAGAACTTCTAGACACGAAAACATAATCCCTGCAATTAAACTCATTAGATAGGCTAGAAACAGATTAGACAAAGCATTTGTAAATTAGAAAATAAATCTGAAGTTACCTAGAATGGAGCACAGAGAAACAGATGAAGGATGGAAGGGCATGATGGTTCCAGCTTACGCCCAAAAGAAATCCCAGAAGGAAAAAATCCAGTGTGTGGCAAAGAAGCGATAGTCAAAGTGTTAATGGCCGATGTTTTTCCAAAATGAAAGACAGGCATACTCACACTCATGAACACTAGTCAGAATAAATGAAAAGAAATACGTATTACAGAGAATCATAATAAAGTGGGGAACCGCAAAAGACACAAGGGGTCTCAAAAGCAACCTGAGACAAAGAGACTTCTGATAATCAGACCAAGAGGAAAAATGAGAAACAGTATTTACACTGTCATGAATTTGAGTGACTCAACGGGGAAGGCACGTAACCTAGCTCCATCGGTGGATGCCAGCTAAAGCCGTGACGGTACATCCGGTACAGTGGAGACCTGCACGGGCATCAGAGAATGAGGCAGAGCTACACATACTGAGGACAGCCGTCGCCTGAACAGTCAAACACCAAGCGCACCAGGCCCAGCTGCGTGACGGCAGCTGGGGGGCGGAGGAGGGAGGCACGCATCTGTGCGCAGGCACCCTCTGGAGAACGCCGCAGCACAGCCTCCGCTGAGGAAAGAGAAGCTCCCAGGAGACAACTTCTCCCTATAAATACTTTTTTGTGCTTTTGAATTCAAAAGGTTACCTGCTTAAGTTAAAAAAATTTAAACATAAAATTCTGGAAGGACATACTGGAGCTGGTAACAGCAGTTACCTTGGGGAAGAGTCTCAATGGAAGAATGAGGGGAAGAAATGCAGCTTTTACTTTTTATTCTAGACGCTGCCATGTTGTTTAAGGAACAAGAACTCGTTCATGACTGGGAGGGGCACCCAGAGGCCTTCACAAGTACTGGTCACACTCTGTTTCTTAAGTGGGCAGGTGGCGGGAATGCTCAGGTGTTCCATTTTTTTTAAATTGCACACAGCGTACCTTGTATACACTCCCATGTGGATGTTTTGTTTCAAATAAAACAGGGTTGTAGAAATCTACAGTCTTATGACACGGGGGTGAGTGAGGTCCATGGCTTCTTCCCTGCTGGCGGCGAGGCTGACTGAGAGCTCCCTTAGTACAGCAGGCCAATCAACACCCCCCCCCACCCCGCCTCCCCTCTTCCCAGGGAGGGGTCTGTGACCAGAGAGATGCGGAGCGAGCAGAAAACACACAGAAGACAAAGAGCTCCAGA